ACATACAAGTTCTCTTATCAACAGACGGGATCAGCTATGCACGCAATTACTATCGCAATTATCATTCTTGGCGCCTATTTTGAAAATCTTAGMGTAGCTCGAAATGCTGTGTTAACATGAACCGAAGAAAGTTTTTCAGATATCTCAAGCTACTACTTGGGATCGCTCTACTTTTCTCTTCTGTCCTTCCCCTGGATAGTATTGCTTTTGGAGATTCTTTTGTAGCTGAAAATCTCAAAAGTAGAAAGGTATGTCATTCATTACTGACTCAATATCATATAAACCAGTCGCAAGATTTCTTTCTTGACCTTGCATTTCTTGATTGTTTCTAGTTATGCGATAAATCAAGAAATATCAATAAGGTACCGACCACTACAGAGGAGGATTTTATCGAGAAAGAAGATGCTGTTTCAGACGGTTCAGATGTAAGTTTGGTTAACCGWGGTTATATATACTGTAAATGATGTTCTCAGTATTTTGCGAACGCGAAAATCGAGGAAAATTAGAACCTGCCATTGTGAACGAAGTTGAATCACGRTATTTTACTAAAAATTCTTGCACATTGACGATAAGAWKKCTTATCATATAATCGATATTGCAACTACTATTTGAATGGAATATTAGTATGTTTCTGAGTCATTGACCTCTACATTAATCATTTCTTTGTTAGAATGATGAAAACACTTAGGAGAATTCTGATCTTGAATGTGATTGTGGAAAATTTCATTGCCAGTGTTTACGCGAAGCTGAAATTGAGTTGGACAACTTTAGAACTCAAATATACATGGGAAACTCCGACTTCGATGTAAGTACCACAAATGTAAAACTTGACACAAACAACGTAACTTCAGCTTTTAAGAATGCATAATGTTTAGTAGAGTCGATACAATTATTCTGTGAACACATTGTGGCGCGCGCTATCTTGGGCTGAGGGCAGTTGACCTTGATTGCCTTTCAAAAATAACAAGTCGTCTTGTGGTGTTATTTTTAGTTTAATTTTTATTTCATTTCATAGTCGTTTTTATTCGAATCATTTTGACGCACGGAAAATTGAATATTTCCATGATGATTGATGATAGTACTTGAACTGRTTTTTGTTAGCTACTATTGGAACTGGAACTCCATCTTGATAATAGCCAGTCCTGTCAAGACTTGATCAAAAATTGGGATGATATTTCAAGGAAGATTCACAAGGWTAAGGACATTAGCGATGGTTAGTTGAAGTTTTATACTCTTTCTTAAGTTTGGTACTTGCTAATTTTTTTCTTAAATACATTAGAAATGTTTGCTTATACATTTTGTATTTTATTTTTTATTGGAAGTTGCATCTGGAAGGGCAGTTATTTTGGCTGCTCTCCTATAATTGTTTTCTGTGAGGTACAGTTTTGAAATTTTCATTTATTTTTTAGTTGACTACAGGTACATGTAATAAATACAAATGTATTGGAATATTCAAGGTTCCAAATCTGTTTTGCTCAGGCTAAGCATGATCAATTACATGCAAACTATTCAAAAATTAACAAATCTAACCATGGGATTTACAGCTATTCTTATTTGACGTGTTTTTTGGTCATAAATTCCTTGCATTTCAATGCACTGTCTCGGAATAAAAGAATACATTTTCCAGTGCTGGGCCTGAGCGAAATACACAGTAAAAAGGTATATTGTTATTTGTTGATTATGTTAAATTTTATATGTCTTTGGTATTTTATTTTATTTCATTTATGAATTCATGGAACCTTTTTAACTTTTTTAGCCCTCAGAGCATGAAGACATTAATWATCTTCTCAAAAAACAACTGAAAACAACATCACCAACTCTTGTCATTTATGACATTGATGAAGAAGAGGATAGCCAGGCATTTATTTGCATAGACAAGAAGATATTTGTTGAATGTGCCACSGAACAGTTAAGTTTTAGTAGGTGTTTGATTATTCTACTAGCAACATATTTCACATTCAACCTTCAATATGAACAAAATCAAAAAAATTTCTGGAAGAGTATGTTCTTAAAATTCAGCCGAARAAGAGAACAATCACTTATAGAGATATGGTTACTAAATTGATGAATGAACTCTAAGTTGCATATTTAGCACAATGGCATTTGCACCTGAGGATCCTGATAAAACTTGAGAACGAAATAATCATAGGAATCCATAGACTGATGATCAAGTTTTATTGCTTTCATTGKCACTGCAATTACCACCAGTTTSTTTGAATATTATGATAAAGTYTATTCCTAATTTCTAATGTGATTTTGTCATGTAGCAATGCAAACAACTGAAAAGCTGATATTAAATTAATAATAGATATTTACAATGACCTTTAAAATATGTTTAGACTGTAATATTACACATGAACGCGAAAGAGTTCAAAACGATAACAAAAGCAAATATCTAATGACAACATTAGGATTGATTGATTTAAAATTGATCTGAGTTTATATTATTAGTTATGGCAGTTGGTTTAATTAAATATTGTATTGTACACATTACTTATTGCTATACTAAATGTAACAACCTTTTGGGATTTACTTTTAAATGATTCTTATATCGGTTTGTGGTAGCATTTTTAAAAGTCTGATCAAGCTATTTTAAATTATCTACTATTATTGTTGATGTTGTGTTGCGATTTATTACGATATAAACATGTTGATATTAGGCACTTTTAAAATTATGTGTTCTCTTTTTTTCTTAGGCTTACAGTGAACCATTCTCGTACCCGGYAATGAACTGGCTGATGTTTTAAAATATTAAGAACAGGTTTCTTAAATCAAGAAAGAGCAGTCTTGTTTTAAGAATTTCAGTTTGGAGAAATAAGATACAAATGTCTCATCTCAGGATGTATTTTCAAGATCCATTTGTCTTAATTTGAGAATACTTTCTCAAATTAAGCAAATAAAATTCTTGTTTTGAGACAACATCTTTCTCAAATTAAGCAATGGTGTCCAAAAACAAGAAACGGTGTCTCATCTCAGGACGTCGTTTTGAGAATTTTTTTGCTTGATTTGAGAAATCTGGTTTAAGAGTGTATGCCATTACAATATCGATAGAAAGCCAAACTTTTAGAGTATTTACACGAATTGATTGAAAAATTGGCGAAAAATGGAGCAGCAAAATGTGCTGTCGCATGGGCGCTCATCCGCATCCGTATTATTCCGTGTCTTCAACACTGGACGAAAAAACGGATTCACTCCATTGTGAATGTTGTGAATACCATATTCACTTATATTCACACATATTGTCACCGATGCAAATATCGTATTCACGCTATATTCACTTCAGAAATTGTAAAACACGATAAAAGGACTTCTATGGTTATTCTCTTTTACAGTGCAACTACTTCAACCGAGGCCACCTCGCTATTTTTAGCCAATCAGAAAGCGAGTTTTTTTCCAGACGACTTTTAAATAGAGTTCGTTGTTTTTGTTACATGTAATTATGTCAAAGCAAAACTCAATTGTTACAAAGATATGATATTATTTTATAGGGGTTCCCATAAAAAGATATGTCTCTCAGTTTTTGTAACTTTTTCCATTAAATAAATGTAAACACAAATACACAAATAGGAAAATTAGCTACGCTTCGAATTACGCAGTTACAACTTAGCATGATAAACACTTTTACCAACTAATATAAACGACATAAAATGTTCGGACGTAAAGTCAAAGAGTTTTCTTCAAACAAGCTAGTAATAAGTAGTATTAGATTTTATAAATGTCAACATTAGCTCTTCGGTATCTTTCGATTATATAAGGTAGCTCCCAATCCAATCTTTCATCGACTGGAACTTTGTTCCCAAGTGCTCTTTTCAATATTAGAAGATCTTTGTCAAGGGCARATCTATCAACATACTTGATATGATTCTGTTTCCGCAGTCGGGGTCTCATTATGGAAAWGAAGCTACTGGCGGCACGTTCTCTCGCTGTCTTGAACACATCATAGTCSCTTTTGGATTTTTTATTGTTCTTCTCTAACTCTTTGAGAACTCTCTTGAGGTCTTGAATTCCATCTTTCAGTTCAGGATGCTTATCTCTATTCTTGCAGTATTCAATTCCCTTACAGCGACCTTGAGAACACTTAGCTTTAGTATGTCCCAAACCATGGCATTCAAAACACGACTTCTGTCGGGATGAGTTGTTATTAGTATACGTGTCATAGTCTTGGACTTTCTTSGATAAAAGATCCTTCAMTGTTTCAATAATCGATGTTTGAACCCGGACTACTCGAACTTCACTTCATAATTTATTAAATTACATATTTTAAATACCAAGCACATTTCCTCAAGGAGACTGGCTCTAGTTCATTTGCAAACGCGCCAGCTTTTTCATCAATCGATCATTAAAGATGAACATCACTAGTTTAGTAAATTTGGGTAACACCTGTTATATAAACAGTGTCATCCAGCTACTTAATTCCAGTGATCATATGACAGACTTGTTTTCTGGTCATGACAAAGGAAAGTCATGCATCAAACAAATCAAAGGTATTTCTAATAGATTAAACCCACATAATTTGTGTGTGAATGCATGGTGGMACCTGACYGAAAATTCTGACACCATCGTGTGGCGATGTATTAAAGATGCTGGTGACCCCCAGGAGGAAATCTCACTTTCTCGCTTTTGAAATAACTATCCCAAACTTAATCAATGACAGATGAATGACACACACACCCTCAATGACAGATCATTTGTTAATTGCTCTGTCAGTTGATAAAGCATGACCTGGCCTCTGAACTGCACAAGCTCTGTGTAACAGTTGCTATATACTGAATGACAMAATGTATAATACCTGCAGCAAAGAGGCAACTAAATGTTCAGGATTTTGAGATAAAAACAACAGCAAAACATAAGCTTAATAGTAAGGTATATAATTCCTGATAGCACTAGTATTTCACTCAGACTATTATGCCAAGCATCATCAATACTTTGTGGGTGTATGGCCAGATGCTGGACACAAAAGTCCTGACCCTATCCAAGACCAAAAAGATTTTGAGTATTTATACCACCATGTACCCCAGACCCTAACTGCCAAAATCAACAACTTTAATAACAGTATTACATAAGCATAYCTATGCATATATRTGCATTKACTTATTAYGTGTTATGTCAACACACTAAAAGGTACTGCATGCTTAATCTGTGAGATGGCTCAYGTGCTGAAGGAATCAACAACACCTTGCCCATACTCACCACATCAACTTGTAAACTTAATACCATGTAAGTTCAGATTTAAATAAGCTTAGGATCTATGTTATCTACATACATATCAAGGAAGTCAGTATGGAATGGGTTAATATGTACGAGCTGAATTTAAAATTGAGTGCTTTTAAAAAAATAGCAGCCCCCTTCAGCAAAGATGAAAAATAAGCACCATTTCCCCCTGCACATTTTTTAATGTGGAGCGTATTCAAGTAATTGCAATTAAATATGCTTAATTACAGAATAGTGTCAATTCGTTGTTCTTTTCTACTGGGGTTTTCTACAATAACATTGAAGAATTGCCCTTTTCTTGATCATGTACTATATGTGACTCTCAAATTGGCATGATATATGATATGGCAAACACTAGATTATATAGAGGATATTACATGGGCGCGTGGAGATACGGAATTTATCTTCKMGYGTTGAAAAGATCTCTCACGAGTGAGCGTAGCGAACGAGTGAGAGATCTTTTCAACACGAGAAGATAAATTCCGTATCTCCAAGCGACCATGTAATATTCTGTTTATCATATAATCCATTAAAACAAATTATCTTTTCAAGCAATTTTATTTCCCAAATAAAGAGTACATTGAATAAGCAACTTTGAGCTTAATAATATTCAGTTTTCAATGTAAGCTTAACTAAAACTTTGTAGCTYAATGCCAATGMAAAACTAAAGCATTTTRACTCAAGCTCAATGTAAAATTCATGTAAAACTATTTCATTAAAATATCACAAAAGTCTGTAAGAGTAAACTGCTCTAAATCTCGGTTATGCTTACTCAGTCTCTTGACTGCTATCCGATGAATCAATGGCCATAATTCGACGATAATTTTTCTTGACGCTGGTGTTTGAACTGGATGTTGAAGCTGATTGTGAGGATGCCAGGTTGATATTAAAAGTGGCTCCAGTGATTGTGTTACCGTAGAA